ATCATCTCTAGACAGTTTTAAAATATGTAGTATAATCTCTCAAGTTTGCCCTAATTCAACCGGTATACAGTTGAATAAAAGTTTACATGTAAATTTATAGCCTTTAATACCATTAGAACATTAAGATAAGAGTTTGAAATACGAAGATGTGAGTGAAAAATACGAAGTAGCGAATTAGAAACATTAATTTACATTATTAAGTTGTGTTCTAGAAACATTAAGTAAGTTGTGTGTAAGGAATAATAAGTTGTATGTGAAAAGCATAATTAAGTTGTGTGTTAGAAACATTAAGTAAGGTGTGTGTTAGTACCATCAGTAAGTAAGTTGTGTGTTAGAAACATTAAGTTGTGCGTTAGAAACATTAAGTTGTGCGTTAGAAACATTAAGTAAGTCGTGTTTAGAAACATTAAGTCAGTTGTGTGTTAGAAACATGCAGTTGCGGTTTAGCTAAAACATTCAGATGCAGTTAAATTTGAAGATTTAAGAGTGGGCCTATGTTTATCAGAAGAAATGCCATTTAAGGTTGATAACGCTATGAATGTTTATGCTATTTCGATAGGTAGATGTTAATACATGTATATGAAATATTCTTGATTTTATTATAGACATAGGTTCTGAGAAAAAAAGCATATTTGATTGTACTTCAGTATAGAAAAAATTAGACGAAAGAAGTGCCTAACTGATAGTTTATAGTTATATTACTGTACATGAACGTTATAATTGTCTTCTGTATATGAACATAGTTAGGCAATATGTTAACATAGATATATTCTATTTATTGACAGCGATATCATAATAAGGTTGTCTGAATACACCAAATAAGTCCATGAAAGTTATGTATGCAATATTCACGTGTCGTCTGCTACGTTAGAAGGCCAGAATTCCCGGTCTGTCGCACTTATGATGCTGTCAAAATATACAATATCCGATGGTTTAATATAAGTATAAATATCAGAGATATAAAGCTACGTACCATTGGTAGTCTTATAACGGCGGCTCCATTAGCTTTCTTCTGAGATTTCTGAAAATCTTTATTCGCGCGATAAAATATACGATATGAGAGAAGCCGAAAGAACACTGTTATATATTATATTATGCCATAAAAGAATTTATAGGCTAGCGTTCTGTCATATTCGATCGTTTGATTAAAGTATGTCAAAGAACTTGATCAAATATATTCATCATCTATATAAAGAAGTCCGTTATGTTTCAGAATAAAGTATTACTTTTTTAACATTTTAAGTGACAGTCCGTGTTACGTAAAGTATAACTTGAGCTTTCTGTGACACTTTTCTTTTCAGAATCTTATTAAAATATAGAATAATAATAGACTGTGTGTCAAAACATATCATGCAGTCAGACCTTGTTCTCTTTGTTGACTTTTCTTGTAATTCAAACTGTTATCCCTTGAGACAGCGTTGGATAAACTTTTACTGTAACTAAACCACGTATTTCCTCAACGGGGATCTTCTGGGAGGAAAAATAATTGCACTCTTTATTAAAAAAATATACACTTCGTAAACAAATAGCACGTCCAATTGTTCCCGAAATATATAAATGAAATAGCACGCAAGTAAACTTTAAGGGAATGAAATTCTTTCTGAAAGCAACTGTGATTTTGCAATTCCAGTTTGGAATTGGTGGGGACTCAAATGAAAATCCTGAAAAAGCTTCAAGTTCCTTCAAGCGGGAAAAGAATCTTAATCCCTTTTTTATAAAATGTAATTCCCTAAAACATCAGCGTCAATGCATTTAAAAACAGCAGAGTACCTAATTAATCTGCCCTGAAAATGTAATTACAAAAACAAAAAAGTGCTTAACCTCTGTCTTGTGATACATTTTACGAGTTTAAAACTATGTGAAATCGTGCAAAAAAGACCAGGAAATAGGGTGATTGAGGGATTAACCCCAGCTTTAAATCTCAATATTAAATTGCCAATGAAAATTTATGTGTATACCTCGTTCTGATTTATTCGAATTCATTTAAATACGTGTGCATGTGAAAATTTAAATGTTATTCTTTTCTGTTGCAAATCTAGTTCTTCTTTTGCATTATTTAAACTGCTTTGCTACAAGGAAGAAGGTAAAAACGACATAAAACTTTAATGATTCCCATAAGATTCCAAATTCAGTGACATTACGGTGATTCTGTCTGACTTCAGATAATTTCTCTAACAAATCTGAACGTTCGTGAATATGATACAACAAAATATCAACGAAAGATAGAATGTTTTGTTGTATGTTTGAAGACAAAATTGGAATAAATATCAGCAACTACGTTGGACAGTATCTGCTTTTTTCAGAGACTGCTGCATGAATTTGTTAGTTCACAAGAAATACATGTTTTTTATAATAATAAGGCATGGTAAACTGTTTTTACCGTTACTAGCGTTATATCAATGCAGAAATATTAACAATGTTTAATAATAATTACATAGCACTCTGATTATCTGTCCGGCAGATACCGGGAAAAGGATGGCAAATAGCCTATTTAGTCCCCGGAAGTTAAGATGAATAAATACATCCTACGGTCGAAAAGAGTTAGATTATCTGTTCCAATGTACAAGATTCTAATAAAAAGATTAGTTTGTTTTAAGAAAATTTGCTATTATTTGTGGTTTTAAAAGAGGCGTTTAGGAATCCACTCAAAAAACCGCCAACTTTAAACTAACAATTGTTAAAATAAAATGTTTCCTTTTGAACGGTAATGCAATGTTAGAACTGCCAAAATAGCAAAGATTAAATATAAACAACATATATTTAACCGGATGAATAAGAAATATGGCGTTTATATGTTTCTTGCTTATGCAAATGATAAAAGGGCATGCATCAAAAAGCTAATACCACTCTTGATCAGAACCTATGTTATGAAAATACTTCTTGTTACTTGAAAAGGAACATTTGCATATTGTAAACTGTCACTTCAGTCGTCACCTGCATACCCCTGCTTCTATGATTTTATATTATGTCTGCAACAAAGGTAGACTTCAAAGAGTGGAGATAAAGGAATTTAAACACCTTTACACGAGCAAATGTAGTGTACATACATGTAATTAAGCTGTTGTTTTAACTTAAGTTATAACTATATAAGTACACTGCAATCATAGTTACATAATGCTTCGTAATGTTTGACTGCATAAACTGCCTTACGTATAACTTAATATACTACTGAAGTATGACTGCATGTACTTTGTAATTTATGGCTACTTATACTGCTTAAGAATGACCACTTATACTACTTAAGTATAACTACATATACTGCTTAAGGTATGACTACATTAACTACTTAATTTTGACTACATTTACTACTAAGGTATGACTATACATACTTCTTAAGGTATGCTACATATACTACTTACTAATAAGATATGACTGCATTTACTACTTAAGTTATTACTACTTTAACTACTTAATTTTGACTACATTTCTTTCTGAAGTATGACTACATTTAAGTGAAGGTATAACGACAATTACTAAATAAGTATGACTACATATACTACTTAAAGTATGATTTAAACTTTATTGTCAAAAAAGCAACATATACATACATGTAAAGACAGTTACATTACAATGGTAAACATATTTGGCAAAAGGTTTGACCCACAAGTTCTCTCAACGGGTCTTCCCTTTACTACTAGTACATATACTACTTAAAGTATGACGACATATACTACTTAAGATATGATTACATATACTACTTACATTGACTACAATTACTACTTAATAACTTGTCTAAACAAATATTTTCTTAATATGAATTAAGGTTTGCATTGCTTTGAATTGGGAACAGTCCGTTTAAAAAGTTAAAGTATTTCGGTATTAAATAACAAAAATTGAACTTCCAAAAAGAATAGAGCCTGATCATACTGTACGGATTAGAATGCTGGCTGTATACTGGTAGCAAACGCTTCTAACTTTCAGTTTGAGCAGATTGAAGGGCTATTTTTATAGACAGCTCTTTGAAGACAAAGCAATATGTGATACATTGTGTGGTGATATAGTGGACGTATCTGCTAGACCAGTCAGAGACAATTAATTCTAGAAATCAATTAGGCAAGTTGTATAAAAATACACATAAACGAAATTACTACAGATCAGATGTGTATCAATTTTATCCACTTAATTGTGTTTGATAAATATAAGCGATATTGATATAGGGTGATAGATAAGAACAAATAATGACAAAGGAAACTTATTTCATGGCGATCCGACATTGTTTGTTTGAAATGTCTTGCAATGTAAACAAGCACAGCACAACAAAATGTTGTAGACTTTCATCATTTTATACAGGAGTACAAAAACATTTATTTAATATTTTTGTTTCAGACGTCTTTGGTTAAATTTGTCTAGAAATTAGTCCGAAATCATGTGATTTTGTTTCGAATAAAGTTTCTCGCATTTATACGGAAACAAAATTTGTAATAGGTTCAGCGAACCCGTATAATATAGTCCAAAATCACGTGATTGTTCTTCAAAAACGATTTTTTCTTTTGCATGTAAATTGAAAGCTGGAGATTTTTATAGAAACTGAACAAAAGGCCTTGCTCTTTACGTTCCGGACAAATTTTCCCCTCCAATCGAGCTTTGATTTAAGACTGACTTTATTGTGTCATCAAATTCTCTTCAGGAAATAACTACTTACATTCCCAGACTAAAGTGAATTACTTGTACTAGGAAATAAGTGTTATTCTAGCATTGATGAAAGACTGAACAATTGTCCATCATGTTGAGTACAATTTAGATGAAGATTGTGTGTGGCACAAAAAAACAACGATTGGCCATGAATACTAAAACTATATCAATCATTGAACTGTTAACATGGCGAAATGGAATCAGGTTTAATATAGATTCATTGCTAATACATGTATAAACATGTATATATATACACGGAAACAACAGTTTTTTTCGAAATAATGAATAACATAAATAGGGATTGGCTTACGTTCTTTCAACATTAGCGATCGGCCCTCCTCTCTGAAATTGAAATCCAGGAAAAACGTTTAAAGATCCTGTATGTTATGTAAAAAATTACAGAAAACATCAAAAATGTTTCATTTGATGGTAAATGCAATGATTTTACGAAAAAAAAATCAAAATTGGTAAATAATACACAAAATTAAATGATGAAAAAACTTCAACGCTCGCTCAGTTTTTCTAAATATAACACATAGCTACGTCATCAGTAACACATGATCGGTCACGTGACCCATTCTTAAAATAGACCAAAACAAACATGGATGCCGAAGACAGCAGCTCATCAAGCACAGTAGGTTATTTTCATAATTTTACATTTATTTTTCTTTTTAAAGATTAACCTGACCTGTAGTACGATTGCAAACCATTTAAGTAATAAATATGACCAGGATTAGCAGTATTTCGATATTCTCCATGTAAATAATAGCGGAAATTGAGTAATTTAAAATGAAGAGGGTCCCGTGGGGAATAATAATATTTACTAGAAAAAAATATAGTACGCACAGCAGCGAGTTTTTATGTATATAAAAAACAATGATTTAAACAGAGTTCTTTGTTTTTTTTTGTTTTGTGTTAGAATTTTTACTTAATTCCACGAAGAAGTTGCGATGCTATTTTCCCAAATAAATCAAAATTCATGTATATATCAAAATTTTATTTATTGTCGGTATACATGTATATATAACATCCCAAAATAATTTAACTATTTCTGCTAGATTCTATTCAGGACAAAAATGAATAAGATGGAAATCATTTGAATGAAATGAATTACAAATTGAAATAATACACAGATATTAACATCAACATATATATGGTTTATTTGTGGAAAAGGTGTTTGTACTTAAATATCAAAACTTCTAAAGCAAGCATGCTAGAATAGAATATGCTGAGGACAAAATTTGTAAAATTTTTTCAATCATAGATATTATACATATATGAAGCCGTGTCACAACAAAGCCAACATAATGGGTTTGTGACCAGCAATGATCCAGACCAGCCTGCACATCCGCGCAGTCTGATCAGGATCCATCCTGTTTGCTATCAGTTTCTTAACTTGTTATAGGGTCTGTAAGCGATCAGCATGGATCCTGATCAGACTGCGCGGATGCACAGGCTGGTCTGGATCCATGCTGGTCGCAAACCCATTATGTTGGTTTTGTCGTGACACGGCTCAATTATGTATTTTTTTATTATTTCACATGTCAATTGTACAGTAATTAAACATAAATGTGATTAATTGCCACATGGTGACAATGTGCAGCCTGACTTGGAACAGAATACAGTTCCACAGCTCTTCCAACTGAGCTATCCAGCAACTTACAAATTTTACACCAAACCAGTGAACAGATCAAGACTGTGACATGTTCTTCTGCTTTATTGAGATTTGTCTTTATATTTCTAAGGGTTACATAGCGATTTTCATAAAGCTCTCCGCCCGACAGTGGGTGCTAAATGTCTCAGGATGAGAGTAATATTCGGGCTTGTAACTGTAAAACCGTTTGGAAGTTTACAAATTGAGCTATCCGGAAGCTTTAACATTCTTTCATCCCAACAGTGAATAGTTCTAGACCATGCAATAATATATGTGTTTAGTGTCTTCTCTTATCTTGCAACTTATTATATAAAACATTTATTATATTAATAATTTTTTTTTTAATTTTGAAAATTGACTAATTATACTAGTATGTTATAAATTATTTTTTGTTAGCAAATCTAACTGATGGTTGACATAAACCTTATTGATATATAGATATTCATTAGGAATTAAAACTAATGACTGTTTTTTTTTTATTATTTCAGGTAAGCGCAGACACCCAAGAACTTCAATCTTCAAGGTAATACATGTATTTCAAGTTCTTGTTTTTTTTTACTATCACTGAATATTACTCAATCAGAGTTTCAGAGTTTGAACAGTCTTATAAAGTGCTTAGAGTCCAGGAATTTGTGAAATTTCTAAGATGCCCTTAAAAACTGATAAATTTTGTATGAAAATATACTTAAAAATGAACAGGTCCTGGATGAAATTATAACATGTATGCTTGAGGCAAATAAAGTTAATGTAAGGGGGGAAATGCAATTGGCTTCTATTTGAACTTACAATATAAAACACTTAAGCTAGTTATGAAGTGATAGTTAATTGACAAATTGTGCTTGAAAATTATAAATATGTAAATTCTCAAGATTAATAGTGTGGGTGGGACTATTCATATAAACATTATCACTCATTTATGTTTGTCAGGTAGTAAAATGAAGGAAATGTTATGATAATGAGATTGTAATATAATAGCACAATTTCAATATCTTTTGTAATCACTCCCTTTGTATCACAGCAGAGCACAATTATAAGATCTGAAAAAATTGGATAATATCGAGTTGTTTCATTTCCTATGTTTATTTACTTATTTTCTTCCAGTTTTACTTTCAATTTAGTCAGGAGTTTATCAATATAATTTTGTTAAAATGTATATTTCCATAAATTGTCTGTTTGACATAAATGGTATTTCCTTAGCACAATGAATATCTTAAATGAACTTGTCATCCAATCTGGACTGAACCATTAACATTTTTAGGGAAAATTTCAAAAATGAAAATTAAAGTGAACACTGCAGACCATCATATTTGCCACTTCATCTTGGTTTGCACATGGATTTATTAAGTGGCTGCCAGCAGCCTAAGGTTTTATTGATATAAGATCTAAATAGTTAACCACTTAATTATGGAAAGTTTTCCCATGAATTTTATATTGTGAGATACAATGTTGACAGTGTAACAATAAAAGTTTGAAATCAAAACATGGAATTTTGATATTTTGGCAAGTAATTTCTGTTCTTCCATATTCATATACTTCTTTTACGGTCCCCTTCTTTTAGGTTAGAGTATCAATAATTTATCCAAAACTTATCTATTATAGTGTGGTAACATTGTTTTATTGCTTAGTTTATGTATACAACACCATTATTACTATTTGTTTTAGTTTTATATTTAAGCTTTTTTCCAATGTTAAGTCCAACACACACAAACAAATATCAGTCACTGTAATAAGAGAATAGACAAGTCAGGTATAGATATTCTGTTGAATGGGTATTTATTTTAGTTTTCTGAAATACTCATTTCTAGTTTTTTCCTACTTTTTTTTATTTATTTGCTGCTGGCTGCCAAGCCTGAAAAATACACATAAAACACCTTTGAAATAACTTTGTTTACAAGAAAATTCTATGATGGCATGCCAATATACCCATAATAATTTGGCATACACATTTTATTCACTTAGCTAAGCCTGTATATGATATAACCATAATAAACTCAAATAAAATTACTTTGAATTTCTTAGGGGTGGAAGGAGAGGAAGAGCCAGGGGTAGGAGCAGAGGGAGAGGAACATGTAGTGGGCGGGGAAGGGGAGGTGCTGGCAGAGGCACAGGTAGACCAGAAAGATTGTCACAGTCAGACAGGGAAAGAGTGACAGCAAGGCTGAACGAAAGAGCTGCACATATGGAGGTAATTTATTTACTTGTACTATTTTGCTTGAAATACGTACATTTGTAAAAAAATAAAAAATAATAACAAACAGAATTGGTGGCATTACTTTTATAATATTATAACATTATGGAAATGTCCCTTTGCAGTTTGGAGGTGAGGAGGTAATTTTTTCAATGTTTGATAAAAGCTAGCTGATGTTTATGCTTATTTTCCATTCATTGGCTTTTTTGTTATTTATAGGCATTAACTTACTCTTTCAGCATTCATGATTCAAAAGACAAATTATAAATTATTTCCTATTTATTGTCTGTTAGGGAAATTGCTATATCACTAAAGGTTATTTTTACCAATAGCTGAAGATCATTTATGCTTAAAACAGTAAGCCTGCATCATTAAATCATTGCTTAATCTGACAATAAAATCTTTTTTTTCAAATCTGTGAAATCATGACAAGGCTCACGTCCAATTCAATTATGATATAAAACAATATAGAGTATTATTATAATAATAAAAACATGGCCAAGCATTAAGTACAAAAAGGTGTGAAAAACACAAAATTTGAAATGATAAAAATTAAAAAGAATGTGCTATTGTCACTAAATTATATTCACATTCCTTAATACCTAAAAAATCTTCTTAAAAATCTTCTCAATTTCCTGTGAATACATTTTCATATTTTAATCTGACCTTTGACACCTTTTTGTGTTGACAGACATTGACTAATCTGCATTTTGCTTTCAGCTTTATGCCTAAAAATGTTGAATAATTTTGCCATGTAACATAAAATTCCTGATTGCATGTAGACATAGATAAACATATTCTTCTGATCTCTTAAATAGAGAAAAACAGAAACTAAATTATACTGGCCATGGGCCACCGGTTGAATTAAGTTGCATCCGCAGTTCGACTTTTTGTGCTGTACACTTCATATGAATTTGATGAACATAACAGTTTTGTATCCATTATAAATATTTTCAGAATGTGGTAAAAAAAATGAAAGCCAAAAAATTAAGAGAACTGGTTATTAAGGTCATTAAAAGAGAGCCAGGGTTGCTGTTCGACTTGCTGGAGGAGGATGGCACACCACCACCGCAGCCACCTCATCCTGCTAATAGTAATATACCATCTTGGTGCAGGTGTTTTAACTGCATAGAGATGCCAACGGAGCTTGAGAGGAAGTGCTGTGGCTGTAAGCCAGAAAATTGTGTCAGCCAGAGAGATGTAAGTAGTTCTGAATATACATATATTTAATTACATTAAAACTGTGACTTCATTTTTCACATCTTACTCTGTTTGCTTAGTCAAGATATATATAGTCAAGATATATAAAATTCAGTTGTAACATTATTGTAAATATTATAACATCTGAAATTTTGGCTACATCCATGGAGTGATGACACATTTCTAGTTAACAGAACACCACTGAAATTCCCAATTACATGGGTATGGGTCATGTTCCCAAAATCCTGGAAAAAATCCCTGCCCTTATTATGTAAAAAAAAGGTCTTTTGACCATTCTTGAAAATTACATATATGTCTAACTCTCGTCCCCTGAAAATTTTGTTTTACCTCTGGTAAAAAACCATGGATCAACATTTTGATTTAGTGATATAATAACAGTCCAGTTCATGCATTATAATAATTGACTTTTATAAATGATTTGAGCCGTGTCATGACAAAACCAACATAATGGGTTTGCGACCAGCATGCATCCAGACCAGCCTGCGCATCAGCGCAGTAAGATCAGGAACAATGCTGTTCGCTTACCAACTCTATTACAAGTAGAGAAACTGATAGCGGACAACATGGATTCTAATCAGACTGCGCGGATGCGTAGGCTGGTTTGGATCCATGCTGGTCACAAACCCACTATGTTGGTTTTGTCATGACACGGCTCATTTCTCATTTATGAACATTTTTGGTAAATACAATATAGATTATCTTTCTTGCAGCAAATGGATAGAATTTGCCTGGATCCAGAAGTTCTTGCCATAGGCCAAGCATATTATAGAGATATGCTTGGTCGACATAGACAACCCATAGAAGATTACAACAAGACCATGCGACATTCGGGCTATAGGAACTTCACTCTCTGGCGACATGGCAGGCTAGGAGCAGGAGTGAGGAGGGTGATCCCCAGTTGCTGCGTAAGAAGAATTAGGGACACATTCCCGTCAGCTTCAGGAACTTACACTGGTTTTGTTCCAGGAAGATATGTTTGACTCTAATACAACTCGAAAATGAGAACGATGACCCCAACTTATTTTTTCGCTTAAAATGTTTCTGTTATCATATTCTAACAACATGCCAAGTTTAAAGAAATTATATTGAACAGTTTTTATTTTGCCTATATGTCTATATGAAAATTCCCGAAAACATGTCTTTAACTGCTAGCAAAATGTGTCATTACTGATGGAAATTCAACATGCCTTAAAATTCAGTTAAATGTGTGATATTGTTAGTTCAACCAAGCATACTCAATGTTAGCTTTGAGGATCAGTGAATGCCATTGGTCTGTTGTATGTCAACATTTAGTTCAATAACATTCTAGCTGTCACATTTTGCCTCAATGGTCTTTAAACTTAGTCAGGATAATTGTCCTAATATCTCGAACTAGTTCTATCCTTGTTCATCTCTGTTCACTGGAGCTATAATAAGAGAAATCTTGTTACACTTTTTTAGCAGTTTCATTCCAAATATCCTGGAAATTGGTTAAAAAGGTTGTAAGATGATCTTTAGATAATGTCAAATCTGGGTCATCCAGTTGTTGTAAACTAGGTCACACAACCAAAATATGGAAAAAAAATTGTAATGACTCTAGAGGCTACTGCTTTCAGTCCAAATACCATTAAAATTGGCCATAAGGGTTGTTTACATATTTCTAGCTCTGGTTCAATTTCCAGCTATTTCAGTCCAAATACCTGGAAATTGGTCAGATAAGTTTAAGTTGAATTCTAGCTGCAGTTCCAATTTGGGTCAATTTGGAAAAATAAAACTAGGTCATACAGCTAGATTTTTTTTCTGCCCAAATATCCTGAAATTAGTATAATGTAGATTGAAAAAAAATACTGCAAGCACCAGTTTAAATATGGGTATACTGGAAACAAGCACAAGGTCACCCATCCAAAATAAGGAAGAAACTGTTTACATTGACATCATTTCACTAGCAGATAAATAAATTATGATATCAGTTTAAGGTGATGACATTATATCTGCTTTTCATTCATTACTTACAATACTGATTTTTCTTTGTCATAAGTGACCTTTTTAGGAGAGCAATATCCCTCATATAAAGACTCAATCAAACCGAGTCTGCAGTTCTTATGTAATTATGTTGTGATTAATGTTTCTGGGGGAACACTTTTTTTCCAGATTTTCATTATTGAACTCTTGTATACATTTACTAATTTTTTGCTTTTACTTAAATAGAGGTAATTGATTTGTTGTGTGTAGCCATTTTTTTTTAATCAGCTAACATTTTGTCCCAATGAGTGAATGACTTATCAGAAGCTTAGAAGCTGCAAACTTTAAAATGGAACACATACTGAATGTAACATTATGTAAAGGTAAAAAACTACAGTGAATACATTTTTGACAAAGTGACATACTATAAGTATTTTGACCATTAACAATGGAATCTTAAACTTAATAACAGTTTAATTTTTAGAATTTAACAGTAGACCTTATATCTTATCCATTTGTCAGTATCAGTATTGAAATGTTTTGACAGGAAAGAGGAAAAGTCTTAGGCTTTATTGTTTCATATCTTAGGCTCTTTATTGTTCTGTATATTTCATGTGAATATTAGTGCAGCATTATTTGAAATTTTTGCAATCTCAAGTTTCATTTATTGTTTCAAAAAATGACTAAATAAGTCCTTTCATTCTGTACTAGTCTATTGAAGTATGGTGGCATACCTCATTTGAATATATCTGGATAAAACATTTGCATGCTAGGGTCTACCTTCATGACCAGTGCAGACCAAATTCAGTTTTCACATCTCTGCCATCTGATAATGGTTTGCACTGTTGTTTTGTTTTTAACTAATTTTGATCATACTTCAGAATGTTCACAAGTAATGAAAAGTTTAAACATGCAAGTCAGATTATGATATTAAGCTAGGAAGAGTTACAAAAGCAATTTAAACAAAACCACTTGTATAACAACAATGGATACTTTATTTACATAAATATTGTCAACAATAAAAAAAGTTAGTGCCATTAATACTGAAAGTTTGTGTCATCTTCACAAATGAATAAATGGTCTCTATAATGCTGTCACTTTTTATGTCATTTTAAGTAAATTTTACAAATAAAATATACATGATCTTTATAATGCTGTCACTTTTTGTGTCATCTTCACAAATAAATTCACATAGCCTTTAGTAATGCTGTAATTCCTATGTGTTTAACTATTTAGAATCTAAAGTTTTATGCCATTCATATCTTGAGCTTGTACATAAATAAACAAGAGCCGGTTGAACCGGGTGATGCTCCCCGAATAGGTTTTGGACACGGGAAGGTATACCTCTTGTAGTGTCAGAGTTATGTAACAGACAAAGTTCAAAGTGTAAAAACAACCCAAATGTTGTGCATGACACATTGTCACAATATGGTGATCATTTCTGTGAAATATTTGTAAAATCCAACTTCAAATAACAAAGTCATGAGCCGGACACATTTTTGCTGCAAGGTCATGATGTGACCTTGACCTTCAAGTTAGCGACCCAAATTTTTGGGGAGCATAATAAATGTCATTGCCTCTTTAATCTCAAGGTTCTTTAATTTTTACTAAGATTCATCAAATCTTGATTTCTTTAGCTGAAGCAAAGATTTTGTAGGTGGTGGTGACAATCCCGATATTCTCTTCTTTATTTTCCTTGGATCTGTTGGAGTAAGAGCAACTGGAGACCTTAGTGGTTCAGTTCTTTCATTCACAGAGTCTAATATAGCCTGCTGTAAAGTAGGGATGTATGTATAGGTCTTTGGCACCTTTTCCTTGTAGCAGCTATATGCCTTAGTCCTCTTTGAAAAGCATCTATGAAGCCTGAAATATCCCCTATATAATTAGTAACATAATGTCTACTGTCAAACTTTTGAAATTCATAAGAAAAACAAATAGTGATATATGGCTACTAAAATGGATTTATTAGTTGCAAGATGGCACCTAAAAGTGACTGCAAAAAAGTGGCTGACTATACATTGTACCTTTTTATTTTTTAAAATTTGATTTACAGCTCCATGTAAATACAAAGAACTACCATATTAAATTATTTGAAAACCAATCTAAATGCTTGTTTGTTTTTCTTTTCCTAAATGAAACATTTCTTTTATAGTGTTCTAGACATAGCCAAAACGTCATGCAAGATGACTGCTTCCTGGGTTCTATTACCAGTTACCAATGCAATTTGTGGAGCAAATAGGTCAATAAGAAGTCAATAAATTTAGTTATAAAAATATTCTATAAATACAAAAATAAGTTTAATCTTTCCTGAACAATAATTTATTTCAAGTTTCTTAGGAAATAAATTGTCAGTGGTAAAAGAAGTATAAATTCATAGTTTGTTGCATTTCTAAGAAACAGTGTAACTGTAACACACTTACCGGAATTCACCATTCTTGTTAAGAAGAAGAGGGCGATCTTTATGACTTTGGTAATCAATAGCAGCCAGATGATTTCGAGCCTTGTATACTGGATACCTGTAGCACAATGATATAGGTTGAGAATTGCAACTACAAGTTACATTAATGAATGACATGGTAAACATAAGGTCTGTGACATGAATAATTTTTCACAATAATTATGATTTGATATTCTGCCAAACTCGTGCATTGTTAAATAAATCTTCTTGATCTCTAGTAATTTTAGCTTGACTTTTTTTGGAAAAAAAGGAGAGGTATTTTTAGTCATGTCAGCAGTGTCGTTGACTTTGCCTTTGCTGTCCGCAAACTTGTATGTCGATCATGAGTTCTTAGTGTAATATCTTAATACTTAATAGCCACAATATTTCTTGGGACAAAATCTTTCAGTAGATCAGATTAACCTTGGCCTTCATCTACAATTGACCTTTAGGGTCAAATGTCCAAATTTTAATCGTGTCTTGCTAGAAGTGGGTATAATTTTGTTATTTTTAAATGGATTGTCTTAAAAATTAAACATAATGATCTTTTAGGATAGCCCTTTAAGTTAAAAAGACAGACCTTTACCTTCACTCATATATGACCTTGACCTTGAAGGTCAAATTGATGAAATTTTGCCAAAAAATTTGCTGAAACTGGCTGTTACATGTACTTTGTTATTATTTAATGAATAACTTCATATTATAACAGAACTATTTTTAGGATAAGATAATATAAATATCAAACTCAAATTGACCCTGACTTTTTTATGACCTTGAATGTTGAATTATTCAATTTTCAATGATTTTTACATTAAAATTGACTGTAACTTATAAATGGATTATCTTCATACTTGGACAAAACAACATTTTGGACAAGACATTCTGAAATGTTCAACTGATCTTGACATTGACCTTTAAATCACCTTGAAAGTCAAGGTTAAATTGTCATAATTTTGTTATTTTTATAAGGATTTGATTTAACCTTTGATAAATCAAGACTTGCTACAGAATAAACATTAAATAATTAAGATGTGACATTGACCTTAAATTGACCTTGACCGTCAATTGTAAAATTAATGAAATTCAAGTTTTTTATTCTTCTATGTACTAACTATAAAACTAGTGTGAAGTATTAAATTTTAAAAAAGGAAAACTTTACTTTTTCTCTCTAAGATTTGTTAGTTTGCTTTTAGAAAAAGTAAAATGTCGAGCGTTGCCATGTCCGGGTGTGGCTCTTGTTCTGAAAACAATAAGTGAAAATGCTTTGAAAGCATAATGTTTTACAGTAACATTCATCTAAGATTCCTTCTGTGGTTAAAATTTTCAAATAATCACTGTTTCTGCAATATCAGCAATAAAAAGGTTCCCTGCAATTTATGACAAAAGATTAATGTAAAAAAACTTACGTGTATGCAAATCTCTTTGCGCAGTACATTAAAATGTGCTCGTGGAACGTCTCTAAATCACCCGTATGTCTGTGAAAGAAACCAAATCAAATAATCACACTGTAGGTTGCACATTAGCAATTTATATTTGATACATTTGCAACTGCAGAAAAAAGTTAACTGAATTACTAAGACATGACTAAGTAAGGAGTTTTGAATGGTGACCCCATGAAAAATTACAAAGGGCCAAAAAAGATCTGAAGTAGAGTAGTTCCACTTATCTGTCTTTAAACGAAAAATAAGACTTGTGTACAATAGTACTAGTCAACTTCGAAAGGTTATAAAATTTGCATTAAAATAATACCTGAAATTAACATAACGATGAATGTTGTGAAGAAATCTTGTGTCAAGCATCACTTTTGTTAAAGCAACATGCGCATCAGTACCAGATTCAAACCATTTATCATCATCTTTCTCCAAACTTTCATGTTCACACTTCGGTTCTATGGCTCCATCACCAGATATCCACTCATGCTTATTTACCACATGGTGAAGTGCACCCCTCCAACGGGCCTGGAAGAGACAAAAAAAGGTTTTATTTTTACATTGATATATACCTTTATTATTTTATACTATAGCTTATCTAAAAAGGTATAATTATTATGTAACTCATCCAACATTTTACTCAATTTACACTCTTGTCTATCAAAGCATACTATTTTGGGAAATGTTTTATGGTTATTCGTTTAAATGAATTTTATTATCTCCAGTATTTCGGTAAACAGTCATACCAGCTAGTATGGTCGATAAACGGAATCAATGTTTGACCTATTGTAGATCTATATAAATCCAATGTGTATGATTTATTGAGAGCAAAATATAATAATGATTTTTCATAGAAAATTTATATATTGAGAAGTAGACATGTTTATTCAATGTTAATAATGGACTGTGTAAGATTCAAAGAAATAACATACCAATAAAACTTCTTCTTTTCCCAGAGAATTTCTGCAACAGTACCAGAAATGATTTACAAGGTGAGGAACCCAAGGTCTTAAATCCTTGTTACGAGATTCTGCTGCCACCTGTTCAAACATGTAACAAAATAAAATGTTTGTATTAATTAGACAACTGTCACAGCATCACAGTAGTCTATTTTTGCTGTGATCAGTACCTTACAAAAACGAAACAACAATCTAAAATATTGAGCGAAAAAATACAGTAATTCAATGATTCCACATGATTCTTTTTATAGCAATGATTTGAAAAAAATAAAAATTTCCAAAGGGAATAATAAAAGAAACCCATTTTATTACAATGCAAATGGGTACTTACACCCCCAAGTTTTTTTCCCCTTTGGGGTTTTTAGCCCATCCCAAATATACCCAAATTATGTACAACATCTGGTTTTCCCCCTTTTTCCCCTGTAAAAATTCAACAAAAAAAATAAGATATTTTTTAACTTATGGGGCAATAATTTAATAAGAACTTTTTGTATCTTTTAAAAAACTGAATATTTTTTGTCTTTAAAGGGCCCAAAACGGTCACTGCCCGGCCCCGTCTGTGACGGGTATTTTTTTCTGATATACACTTGACATATCTAGCTCCAATAACTAGATAACTAATAGCTCCAATAACTAACATTATTTTTAAATCCACTTTGATACTTTCATTCATTTTTGTCAATTTAAATTTTAATAAAACAATGGGATTTTTTGTACAATTGACATGTAGAAATGATAATTATAATCAAAATATCCTTTCTTAAAACCTTCATTCTTCTTGTGACGTAAAAAGTGACATCATTGTTATAATTTTTGCATGTGCAAGTGTTCAGTGGGCTGATGATTATGAGCTTTTCGGTCCTAGACTGCAAACTCCTGATCGGTCATGTGGCATTCATAATCAGTCAAAATCCATCTGATTTTGATGCTATTTATAGTAACAAGTGTATCCATATATTATTGATGTTACCCATAAATCTTATGATGGGACTGTATTCATTACAATAAATGTGCTCTTTACAAGCTTCTTAATGAGTTAATCGTCTTTCCTTTTATTAAATGATTGGAGCATAAGTATGAATAAAATCTTAAATATAATGATGGACTTTCCATATCATATATATACTTCTAATAACTTTTTATAACACATGTAACTCACTTATCATAGCTGCAATGGTTGTGCTGGCGTCTGTAACAAGTTCTTTAACAATAACACCTTTGTCTGCTAGGAGTTTCATAGCTCTTATCAGACCTTCTTTTTCCATGCTGGTTGATACAAGATTAGTCATTCTTTTGTCTATAATTACACTGGCAAGTATGTCTTTGGTTTCATTCTCCATAAGAGTATAGGTGCAGTACTGGGCTGAATGTCCAGGGGAGTCCATTCTCCCATCTCCTGCAATATTGAATAAAATTACAGCTGTCTTACACATTTATTCACTGCCAGTTATTAAACATTAATAAGTTTTAATATGAATACACAAATAAATCACAGCTAATTTTTATCAAACACTGTAGTGTTTATTTGTCTGGGTTTTTATGCCAATTTTGGCCACAATTTAGTTGTTGGTCATCAATTACCATGCAAGTGACAAAAATGTTAGTATGATTACTAATTTAGCACTGGTAGCAAATTACTTTAAAAAACAATGTAAAAGATCAATAGTAAAACAGAAACTTTATACACACTAGGAATGAACCAGCAAAACTGGTTATTATCAAAATATCATCAGCCTAAAATATTCAATATGTTTAGTATTCTTGGATCATTTGGTAGCAGAATGCATCTCTAATATATATGCAAGATGGTTATACTTATCTAAAGTTAGGAACTTACAACATTCAAGTTGATATAATTTGTTTATTAAGATGAAACGACTTATTTCAACCATGAAATAATATACAAAATTGCATTTTTTGGAACAACACTCACCTAAAACTACAACTTCCTTGCCAATGTATTTTTCAATGTTCTTTTCTGTCATTTGTGCAAACTCTCTCTCAATAATTGGACAACAGTGTTTTTGTTGTATTTTGAAATGGGATGACCTCGACATAATTCTCAGTCCAAGAAACGAAAACATCAACTTCACTTTTTCAAAGTTGTTTCCACTCAATAGAATAGCAGATGACAACAGAACATCTCCAACTCTCATTCTCCGAACAACTGGCTGTGAGTCCCATGTCTTTACCTGATGCCCTTTGGAACAACCCTGTAAATAAGAACAGGTTCTTCTGTATATTATGTTTCTACTTAACCCTTAACCTGAATTTTCATTCATGGACTAGTCCATCTTTCATTTTGAATTTCAATTTTGGGGAAAACAAGATAAAAATAAGTAAATTTGCGCAGTCAATATAGAGCCCCGTCAGAATGCAGGGACGGCAGACTAGCCTAGCTGTAAATAAAAGCCGATTACTTTTGGTTCAAGTAGGTTAAGGGTTTAAAGGGCATAGCTATGTTTTATTATGATCATGGCACACGCGGTATATACAGTAAATTATCTTAAATATCTCTGAACAACTATTGAAGAATCCATCTAAGGTTTGGCTTGATTAAAATATTTATGAATAAAACATTACTATTGAAGATGTACAGACATTGCATGATGTATGATCAAAAAGTCTATGTAATTACATAATAAATAAAAAACAGAGTGACTTACCCATATAATTCTGACAGTACTTCCTATGTACTTTGTTTTCATATCAACAATTGCATCACAACCTTTAACATGACACAAGGAACTAACTTTCATTTTTGCTAGCTGCAATAAGTTTTCTTCAAAACAAATACTCTTTGGTTCTCTAACATGGTCTCTTGGAATACTTCTAGAGCCATTATCTTCACTGAGTTCTGTTTCTTCATCTGATGAATCCTCAAAACTTAAACCTATAACCCTGTCAGCAACTTCAACAATTGGAACAGTCTCATCATCATCGGGATTACTGAAAATAAGATATCAACTGTGCCTAATTTGTCAATGTAATAAATTATATAATGTAATGAAATACAAGGACAGCTTAAAATAATAATCAATAATTGGTGCACAAAATAGCAAAGTCTGTCTCATTATGTGCGTAGGTTCATACTAGAAAATGAAAGCTCCTTTCGTCCACTTTATAAGAAAAAATGTCTGATCAAGATCAAAAATCATTTTTATGCTTACTGCAATGTCATTTCCAATACAAAATCATCAGTGACATCACTGTCTGATGAGTATTCTTCCTCTTCGTCTGACCAGTCACTCTCTGGACGATAGCTTTCCTCTTTATCTTTTTCCTCAGGTAAGACTTCATATGATATCCTGAAATTTATTTCATTCATAAGGTTCAACCTCTTAATTTCTGTGTTGTTAAATATAATAACAAAGAAAACTCTTTACAAAAACTTGAGTTAGAATAGGATGGTTGATTGTAGATCAATTCTCCATTACCTAAATTCACTATATAATGCTCTGAAAAATAATATTTCATACAAAATTGAAGACTTAGTCAAAGAATCATTGTAATCATCTAAAATAATTTTTTTTTATCTAAATAAAACCCTTGCTAAAAGAACACTTTTATATAATTTAAATATAAAAATGTTCATTTAAATTTGAAAACATACCCAAAACATCAAAGAACATTGTTTGAATAATTTACAAACTTACTCTATGAAAGATTTGTCTGTAGCCTTGGCTCTTTCTGTGTATCTAGTAATAAGACTGTCTTCTGACATTTCTGTTTCTGACCTATATAATAAATTTAGTACATTTTTTCAAGATATAGCTTTCATACAAATAAGAAATTTCTAGACAGCATAATTTAAAGCTTAATATTAGAATTAATGCCTACAAGAAACAAACCCCCTTTAAAGTAGCATGCCTCAAGATTTATGCTGAATTTCATATAAATTGAGGAAATGTAATAAACAGTTAAATATTTTTAAGTGCACCTTTATAGTAAATTTCACTATATAGAGGTCAGGATATTTGTTTGTGTTGCATGCAACATTGAAATATATTTCACTGAGTGAACAACAGATGCCATATTTTCACGAGTGGGGGAGCCACGACTTAAAATAGAATAACTGGTGTTCATGGATGAAATATATTTCAATCTTATATGTAAAACAAATAAATTTTCTTTTTATTTCAAATTTTAGTGATTTTAACCTTTTTTTACTGATTTTGCCACATCATGTTGTGCATTCTCCTTTATGATATCATAACATCATGATGTCAGATCATCAATCTTGAAATATAATAATATTTAATTTCTCTAATTTTGTTACATTTTTAACATGATAAATGATGACATCGACTTTCTTTTCATAAAAACGGAATCTATGTTTGACAGCATTTATTTCTGCCTGTTATTCATTTTAGTTAGTAATGATATTCTTTTCTCTAAAGTCTGGCTACATTGAAAATTACATTTTATAAATTTCATTGGTGGTTTATCAGAATATAATTATCTGATATATTTCAGTAAAATACTGGAAAGCATGAAATAAAATCCTCATAAATTATCATATGTATTGTAGAAATATCCCTTACTGCATTTTCACAGTGGAAATGTGGTGATGAATACAACATAATTAGTCATCATATGCATATACTAAACAAGTTATCAATTGATTTGATAATATTCTTACTTAAATTTAACTCTTAATTCTTTTTGATCAACATCACATATGATTCGTTTTTATAAATATATCCTAAAAGGTCTATTTTATGCATGTGATGTATATATATCATGTCTAATCATTTTTCATTGTAGCTGTTTTATCTTTGTTGATCTTATACTTTATGTTACATACAGTCGGTTATAAAAGCTCCTAGAGCTTATGTTGTACTGTTGAAAACTTGCCGACTTGAAATAAAAGTTATCTTATCTTATATAATCTTAACATCATACATTCATAACTTTATTTTTGCTGGTCATAATTTTACAATAAATATTACAAACCCTCCATTAGATTCAGAGATATCAGACACTGGGAAAGAGGGAACAACTGCTTCCTTGCCAGCAGGAGTTGAATGTACTGCTTCTTTTGATTTGATTGGTGTTTGCTGCACAATGACAGATTTGTCAGCAGTCTCCTTCATAGCCTTTCCTTTCCTTAGTAAAATAGAAACAACATTACATAAAATAATATTGATGAAATGACCATCAATATCAATAGTACGAAAAAAAATAAACAAAAAAATCAGATTTCATATTTAATTGTTTATAAACTAATGGATGGATTGCAGAACTTTAATTTATCTTTTAGACCAGGGTTAATATAATCCATATTGAGTATATCTCATAAAATTTTAATCTATAGACCTGTACATGTATATTTAGTTACCCTGCTAATGTAAATTAAATTAAAATATTATAAAGAACACTGGTTACAATAATATGTATGCATGTTAAAGCCAATTTGACTCAAACAACATTCAAAACACTAATATCCTAATTGCCTACACTGAAGTATACGTACTGTTACTTATAATATTTGGGAAAATCCCCCTTTGGGGCCCCGGGTTAAAATATAAAAATGTTTCCTAGAAACCCTTTTTAAAAAAACCCTATACGCATGTTTCTTTTTGCCCTTAAAATAGAAAAACGTATAAAAAAATTTTACGAAAGGAATATTACATCCATGCAATAATTACACTGTACGAAGTAAACGTTTTTTACAAAAGAAAATTCGATTAAAATCTCACCATGCTTGAAGGAGTCGCACAGCAAAGTCATCGTGAGTGCTGGCTCCGCTTGCATCTTTTAAACTTTTCCACTCCTCCCAGGTCTCTTTCGACAATCTAACAATGTGAAGGCTTTTTGCATATGTCTTATAAGTTTCTTTCCTTCGCTTTTTTGCGGTTTCTGGCGACAAACGCGAGAGACGTGGTTTTTTCCTCTCCGCCATGTTTGTTTACAAACTGTGTGAGCATGTGTCACGTGACTTCCGTTAATTTGCATATAAGGTATGAATACCACTCTTAGTGATACCGTCGGGGTTTTTCTACGACAACTTTGCAATTACTTACATTCTGACCTTCGGAATTGTTTTCTTATTCATTTGAAGACTATCTTTAAAACATACAAAACTATTATTTTTCTCTCCTATTAAATGTATATGAAATGTTACAGGATCTTTAAGGTATCTAACTTAAAACTAAAAGATATATTTCTTATCATTCCACACATGTTGTGTGACAAGGTCCGTAACTCTAGTGTGACTATTTCCAGAATTTTTCCCCTTTGAACTTGGACTTTATGTTAACAACAAGAACTTCTTGTCATCAGAAGAAATATAAAATTATTTATATCATAATTGATTTTTCTTTGATTGTTTTGTATTCCTAATACTGCGTCCAGTATTTAATTAGTCGAGCTTTGCTGTCTCCTGTGACAGCTCTTGTTAATTCTGTCTTCATGGTATTTCATTACTCTTTTCTGTAAATCTTTCCTTCCAATTCCGATTAGTAGATTCTCTAAAAATTATGTACATGTTCTTGAAATCAGTTCCCTATTGTCAAGAAATGCCATGATGTCAGCGCCATGTTTTAGCTGACAAACTTGCCATCTTGGTCATCATCACTAAATTACAGATCATTGTGAAACTATGCACCTGGGACTTTGCATGTGGATTTTTTTTCAGTTTTGTAAGAGTTATTGCCCTTGACTTACAGTAGTATAAATTTGCAATTTTCAACTTGTTGATGCATAGCACAAAAAGTATTTTGTCCGTCCGTCGGTTTTTCATTGTCCGCCCAATAACTTGAGTTTCCTTTGGCCCACAGTCTTCATATTTTGGCGTGGAGGTTAGTTATGATTAGTAGATGACCCCTATTGATTTTGAGGTCACTGGTCTTAGGGGCTTTGACTAAAAAAACTTGATTTTAAAATTTTCACATTTGAAGCATGGAGAATACATTTCTTAGCAATGCACTCAGGCTTAGTAACCTCAGATTTGCCAGGGTGGTTGTCCTGGAGTCCTAAATGGCCACTGTTGATTCTGACAGAGTGGTATGCGGGGGTATTCACGCCATGACAGCGGCAGTTCTAGTTTCATTTTATTTCTGTGTACAATGTATATTTCAGAAACAATATAATTTGTTTGTATATCTATTTGTTTTAAGAGCCCCAGCTGATGACCTCAGTGGAGTTCCTTTAATGATATCTATTATATTATCAAATTATGAGTATTGAACAGATGATGTACGGCATACGGATAGAAGAATGATACAATTTGTATCAAGTTTTGGTTTCCCCTTATTAACAACTCAAGAACTGAGGTAAAAACCAACACAAATATACTTTATCTTGTGAATGCCAACAAGAGTGCAGTTGAGCTCTGGGTAGGAGTTTGTTTGTTTGTCATTGTCTTCTCTTTTTTTCTAAAAAAACCATAACATAAAAGTGAGGAAAATGGGAAGTCGTCGAAATATTGCTACACAAAGATATTAATAAATCTAATTACATATACATGCTGCAACATGCATCTGCAAAATTAATCTAATACTTCTTTCGTTTCCCTGATATGATATTATGGATTTTTGCACATAGTTGTGCCACCGTTCTTCCTTCAAGTTTGTGAGATAAACTCTCGAGAGTTTCCCCTGTCGGCATTGTTTTCTGGCAGATATTATCACTAAGGACAGAATAAAAAATTTAGTTCTCTGCTTCTGTCCATCGTGTACGCTTCACGCTCTTTCTTCTACTTCTTCTACTGTAATCTGTGAAAAAAGTGCAATTAAAGTAAATTTAAACGATGATAAGAAAAACAATAACAACAATGCCGTAGGTTAACATTTCATGTCCAATACATGACCCCTATTGATTTTAGGGTCACAAGGTTAAAGGTCAGGGTCATAATACCGAAATGTTAAAGCTGCATGCCTCCAGATGAGTCAAAATATTCCAAGAAAATTAAGCATGGTAATTTGTAAGATTTTAAGAAAAGTATACAGATAAAAGATTCAAGTGATATTTTATATCATAATATTATATGCAAATAATGACTGTTTTTGCAGTATTTATCACCGTATTTTAACTTCATTTTTTGTATATTTGGACCTTTTTTTTTGGTAATTCAATTGGATAATAAGTGCTGATATACAATGTGTTGGTTACTTTCTTTGTTCACGTCACAATATTTTACTTTAAAATACATTTTCAAAGTTTCATGAACATAAGTATGAATCTGGAGGCGTGCTGCTTTAAAAGTTAAGATTGTTAAAATCACCAACTGATGAGTACAGAATCTACCCATACGACCAGTGCAGACCAAGATCAGTCGGCATATTCATGCCAAATTATTGTGATCTGCACAGTTCCCTATTCAGACAGTACATAATCATGTTGAAATTTTTACTGAAAGTGATCGTTTAAAGGTCTTTTTAAGAAAGTCAATTTAATGTACTTAGATAGGGTTAAAACTGCAACGATAAATATCAACAACATATTCATTAAACAACATTTTAAATGCATTTCAGGAGCGTTCGTAGCCGTTGACTTCAAACCACTTGCCCCTCCTCGCTGTAAGTTCGGATCCCGCCAGGGTCTTTTGATTCTTTCATATGAGGATGCTATCCAGCTAGCTTACAGAAAGTTGGAGGTTTTACTCAGGTGCTCGCTTTTGCATGAAACAATGTAAGGGCACCGGAGGTCTTCATCCACCAGTAAAGCTTGAAAGTTGTCATGACCTTTTCAGTGATAGTGCGACGTAAAAACAAAAAAAAGCTTATTTCTAAAGAAAATTACAATTTGAGAATAATTTTTGTGTCGCCTCTACGGAGTAGTGGCGACATATAGGGATCACTTCTCCGTCGTCTGTCTGTCTGTCCGCACTCACAGGAGAGTAATTATGTGGCTAGAGGGACAATAGGTAACTGTTCTTTCTCTTTGATGTCATTCATTCCGTAATGCTTTTATGTGGCTATTTTCTTTTGTGTGGCTAAAAAGAACAATAGAGAGAACAATAGAGTAGCCACATAATTACTGTCCTGTGAGAACGTCCGTCTGTCCGTCCGTCCGTCACAAAACTTGTCCGGACTACTCCTCATAAACTACTGGTGCAATTTCATCCAAACTTTACAGGAATGATCAGTACCAAGTCTAGTTGTGCATATTGTCAGCATTTTCCGGTTCAATGATTTTTGTCAGAGTTATGGCCCTTTAATAATTTTTAATTTTAAAGTTTGTCCGGACTACTTCTCTTATACCACTAATGCAATTTCAATGAAACTTTACAGGATTGATCTGTAGCTCAAGTCCTTGCGCATATTGCACGGGTTTTCCGGTTCAATGATTTTTGGCCGAGTTATGGCCCTTTGATAAAAAGGTTTCTTTTTCTGTGTGTTGCCAGATACACAAAAGCTTGTCCGGAGTACTCCTCATAAACTACTGGTGCAATTTCATCCAAACTTTACAGGAATGATCAGTACCAAGTCTAGTTGTACATATTGTCAGCATTTTCCGGTTCAATGATTTTTGTTTGAGTTATGGCCCTTTAATAATTTTTATTTTTAAAGTTTGTCCGGACTACTTTTCTTATACCACTAATGCAATTTCAATGAAACTTTACAGGATTGATCTGTAGCTCAAGTCCTTGCGCATATTGCACGGGTTTTCCGGTTGAATGATTTTTGGCCGAGTTATGGCCCTTTGATAAAAAGGTGTTTTTTTTCTGTGTGTTGCCAGATACGCGAAAGCTTGTCCGGACTACTCCTCATAAACTACTGGTGCAATTTTATCCAAACTTTACAGGAATGATCAGTACCAAGTCTAGTTGTGCACTGTCCGTCTGTCAGTCCGTCTGTCACAAGATTTGTCCCAACATGAAATTGGCCATCATGAGGCGACACATGTGATTACTGATCGCTCTTGTGTATCTATTAAAAGTTTTATTTTTGAATATTGTAGAATATAAATGATCACATGACCAGTATCACATTCGATTGTGTATATGAGATGTCTAGGGTTTTGTTTTCAATGCCTTTGCAGTCATCTATGGTTTCCTCTGTAAAAAATTGTAAAACAAATTATAAAATGAGCCGCGTCACAACAAAACCAACATAGTGGGTTTGTGAACAGCATGGATCCAGACCAGCCGGCGCATCCGCATAGTCTGATCAGGATCCATGCTGTTCGCTGTCAGTTTCTCCACTTGTATTAATAGAGTTGGTAAGCGAATAGCATGGATCCCGATCAGACTGCGCTGATGCGCAGGCTGGTCTGGATCCATGCTGGTCGCAAACTCACTATGTTGTTTTTGTCGTGACGCAGCTCAAACTTTTGAGAACGATGTAAATCAGAGGAGAAAATCAAATTTGGGGTCTCTTTCGCCGAGTTTGCTACCCTCTATTGTCCGCCGATTGTAAATGTTTAGACCGTACCGTAAATATTTAGACCGTACCGCTTTTCGGGTATGTTCAGTTATTGTCGCTATTATAGAAAGCCAATGAACGAAAGCGTTAAATATAACGACCATATCGTAGGGTCTTTCTGTAGTTCAGAAGAAAGCAAAAATAAATGTCGGCCTATTAGCAAGAAAGATATTTTTTACATTAATAATGGCAGCAATTAACTCCAACAATGCTTTGAAGATCAAAGTCTGTGACAAAAATGTTAAAAATAAGTTTGATTTGAAATGTTTAGAGAACATAGTAAATGTGAATATTGGATCAACCGAGACAACCGTCCGCATTGGTGACGAATATTCCTGGACAAGCTTCGTGTCGACTATGTTCAAAACAAATTAATTATGGTAGTCGAGGGTTCGTTGCAACCAAGGATCACGTTAAATCGTAATATTATTACAGTTATAGATACTGATTTATTTAAATTTCTTTGAAATTAAAGTCTGCCTTAACTTTGTTACTGCCAGTCAAAGTAATACAATATCATTTAATGAAAATATTTGATAAAATGTAATCATTGGACACGGAATGTTTCTGTAAAATTTGTGTTAATTCATATTTTAATTGATATTTTAATTTAATTGATATTTTAATTGATGAGGAAATGCATTTTAGACCATCTGAATATGATGAAAACCCATGAGCTTCCGGGGGCTTCACCCCCTAGTCCCCCACCAGGGCTCTGCCCTGGACCTGCATGGGGGCCTACGTGCCCCCATGACCCCTTGCCTTTAA